AGCTAAGTGAACAGAAACTTAAGCCGGTATGAAATGACTGCGATCGTCGTATATGGAAAGAGCAAGGGGCTTCAAAGACCAAGCCAAAGTCCTACCTATCATACAGTCATTGTGGTTTTGAACAGTGGAAAAAATTCACAGTGAATCATCTCCATTTTCAACTTCTCTAATAGCTTGAGCAGCCTCCACATTCCCATTCTGAAATAAAAGAAAGGATATAAGAAACAGGCAAGGAAATAACTGGAGGGTACCCAGAGCAACTCTTGACGAAAACACTACATTGGCTAATGGCTACCTCTTCGCTTCGGTGAAGGGATGAGCCATGCCCTAGCAGTGGCGGCGGCGGCGGCGGCGGTGTCTTAGAAAGATCTCTCAGAGTTCCCTGCAGCAGTCAACACAATCAGAGAAACACGTGAGATATTAGACGTTCTGTGATGAGCAGAGATGACATCATGGTTTGGTCGATGTTCCTGAATTGGGTAGGTTTTTGAATTTTGAGCCACCCATGTTGGGAATATGGCATCTTTCCTAACTTGATCTTACAGTCAAGCACCTGGACGGGTACCATCCAACCGTGGAGCATTGAAGTTCAATCCAGTGTATTTTGGGGGAAGGGGGGGGATTCGTATTATGCAAAATGATACGGAGTATGATATACTTTATACCTTATATGAATGGAAATTAAAGAAAACAATTGATTTGCACACAATTTTTAAAAGATTACACACATCACCAAAAAGTGCAATATGGCATTACATGTAAAGCGATTGCATCATCTGCACACTTCGCATGTAAAGTTTTAATGTGAAATAAAATGAGTGAAAAATTGATGTGTTGGCCCTAAAATGATCAATATTTTATAAGACTCATATCAGTACACAAGATTTTGGTGTCCAAGGATTACACACACACACACACACACTAGCAAAGGACGCACTACGTGCGTAGGTGCCGACATACATTAGTTTTGTACATCCAAAAAGCATAAAAGGAATATTTTACATGGTGATTCACATTTAAAGCTTAAACATCTAAGCTCGATTTTGTCCAAAACATCAAGAAGAAGGTAAAGGGAGCAGTACAATTTCTTCTTTTTTGTCATTTGGAACCTTGATTTCAAATGCAATATTTGTTTTTAAAGTCGGAGAGACAGGGCTTGCAGATGTTTTTTATTGAAGTAGGTATTTTTGTTAGAGTAGCTAACAAACGAAGGCATAAGAGGGAGCATGTTTTATCATCGTTGGCTTGGTAATTAGGTGACATCATTTTGAATCAAAGGTACCTAATTTAAAAATAAAAAAGTTGTTATCGATTGATTACACTCAAAGGTTATTTATTTCTAATGATTGAGAGCAAATATAAAACTTAAAAAACCTATACAATTTGAAGTTAAGTCAGGGAATTGAAACTACATGCAACTAAAAACTTGAAACTTAAATCCAGCCCAAACTTCATCTAAGTATAGAACGAAAAACACTCTTTTAAACTCTTATATTGAAATGATATCCATAAGCCAATTATTGTTGTTAGATTGAAACATCATTTGTTATTTGCATCATTGCATGTTCAAATTAACATGCAAACAAGAACTAATATTTTTACCTTTCGAATTTGAATTTAGAAAAACAACTGAAATTCAAGTAGCAAATCACTTCGATCGGCTTAAGGGTAACACCACAGAATAAACAAAAACCACATGGCGACTTATTTCTTTTTTTAAAATAAAATACATAATCTAATGAAAATTTGAAAAAAGGAAGAAGAGGCACTAAAAAATAACTCAAAATAAAATGCAAGCTTCCAAACACGAGCTATTTTAAACTATGCTCTTAACGATGTTGTACTCCAAAAACTGCGTGATAACACATTAATTAACACCTAAGTCTCGTTGCTCAACTCATAAGTAATTAAGACTTTGTAAGTGCGTGTTGATTCCCTAATTCTTGAAGGAAAAAGGAAAAATTGTTGAATGTACCTATGTTCATACAAGTATAGGGGAATGTCTTGTGTAACGGAGTTGTGTTTGTTTATCTATAGAAAGAGGAGGAGAATAATAGTCATGGACATATAAAAAGAATTCCTTATTTCTAATTTGGAGTACTATCTCTCTCCCTGAGCATTTGTCCAATTTTCACTTTTTTCAGTCAATCGTTTTCAACCTTTGACCTATAATTAAATATAATATATATTGTATATTAATTAGATAAAATAATATTTTGAAAATATTTCATATAATAAATTTAATGAAACTATTTTTGTATCAATATCTAATATCATTTTTTTAATTTGAAGTCAAAGTTTACCCACTTTGACCAAAAAATAAAAAATGGTTACTCCAAACTTACAATTTAAAATTTTCACACATGATACACTCAAAATAGGTATAGCTATTGAATAGAGATACTACTCTTACTCTATTCGGAAGTTGATAATTTCCAAAACATAAGAGTTTGTAGATGCTCTAATAAAACAGTAACACAAAGAGAGGCTGGCATGCTCAATTCCCTAATTGATGCCATATGTTTAAAACATTAGAAATGGTCCTAAATAGGTCTAAAACATTCCAATTATACCTAATTCATCTTATGATTTTCTGTCATTGCTACCACATTTTAGTTTTTGTTCTTTCCAGTGTCTAGGTCTAACAAAACTTCACCCTCTCAATGTTCAGGTTAGCATGTGGTCTTGTAGTAGGCAAGTTCTTTTTAATATTTGAAATAACAAAATTCAAATTAATTTCAAATGAACAAGCAAATCAATAAAAATGTAGCAATTCTCGTTGAAAACGTGAAGTGAACAGAGCAAAGAAGAAAATTTTTGGAATGAAATTGAAATAAGCATGCAAAGAAAAAAAAAGGAAATTTACCACAAATTGGTGATCGAAGGTCTAGCACAAAACACCTTTGGACGGTAGGATCTAGCAAATTGCAATTCAGAGAGAAACTCAGACACGGGGACATACCAATTACGCATCTAGATCAGAGCATGAGCTTGAAATCGGCACAACAAGATCAGGCTGTGAAGAAGAAGGGGGCTGTCATTGGGGGCGTGGGTTACGTGGGCTGCGGTGAAGAATTGAATGCCAGGAGTGAAAAAATAGAGCCCGGGTAAGACGGTGAGAGGGATAACACGAAAGAAAAATCAAGTGGGTGCACTCACTACAGTAAATAAACAGAAGGAAGACGGAAAATCGGCCAAAAAACTTGACAGTAACTCTCTAGCCCCTTATAATATAATATAAGGGTGTGTGTGTATACATACATACATACATACATACATACATACATACATACATACATACATACATATATATATATATATATATATATATAGGGATTGACTCCAGTGAGATGACACCTTACGGTGAGATGACATGCTACGGTGAGATGACGCAAAGCTCACCACTCGTCACTGCAAAGCTCACCAATGGTCAATGTAAAGCTCACCAAAGTGTAAGGCAAAGCTCACCATATTTTTTCAACACTTTGAATTTTTTTCCAAAAAATAAAAAAGCTCACCACATTACACTGCAAAGCTCACCAATGGCCAATGTAAAGCTTACCTGGAAATAAGGCAAAGCTCACCACTTTGAACACCAAAACTCACCTTTTTTTATTTTAAAAATTAAAAAATTAATAAAAAATAAAATAGCAACACCGGTCAACCACCGGTTAGTGGCGGCGGCGCGACGGAGACAGGCGGCGGCGGAGGTGGTCGCCGGAGGCCGGCGTAGGCGGTTTCCGGCGGCGGTCGGCGGCCGGCGGTCAGCGGTGGTCAAAGTCCAGTCAGCTTTTCCTTTGATGATGGTCAATGGTAAATGGTCAAAGTCCAGTCAACACCACTTCCTTTGATTTTTTTTTTCAAAAAAAAATTCAAAGTGTTGAAAAAATATGGTGAGTTTTGCCTTAGAGTTTGGTGAGCTTTGTAGTTGTCCTTGGTGAGCTTTGCAGTGGCCAGCGGTGAGCTTTGCGTCATCTGACCGTAGCATGTCATTTCACCGTAAGGTGTCATCTGACCGGAGTCAATCCCATATATATATATATACACACACACACACATACATACATATACATACACACAAGCACATCAAACATGAGATGGTATAAAAAAGGATGGTGATCACCTTATTTGCCCACATTAGCCCACAGGCATTACAAAGGGTCCTAGGCCCTTCTGGTCCACGTCGCATCATTGGGGTTGATTTCTCACTGATACCATAGTGCTGGCAGCTGCCATGAGAATAGAAAAAAAGATAATATTACTCTCCACCTACTACTTTCCCTTTTCTTCTTTAAGCACTTTTATATGGTGGTGATACATAATGAATCTATCGATGCAAGTCATATGGTTGTTAGCTAGTCACACGAGGTCTATAAATGGTTTATTATAATTTACTCTAACCTGAAATAAACTTCCAAATCCAACTACTGTGAATACATTCCAAAAACTGATTTTGACACTATTGGAAAGAAATGATCAAGGTGAGGGAGACTTTTGCGGAAATGCCAAGAGACAATACCTAAGAGATTAAGCACGTTTCTAAATATTGACACCAACTGTAGTTTGTGTCAGCAGCATGCAATGGTACAACAACTACTACTACCCAGTTGAATCCCACAAGAGTAGGGTCTGGGGTGTGTGTGTGTAGGTAGACCTTGCCCCTACTTGAAAGTCGAGAGGCTGTTTCCAACTAAGAAAGCATGCAATGCTATGTTTGAGAATTTCCTAACTAAGATTCATGCAAGGGACATTAGTGAAGAGGGAGATGAGATTATGCAGATTAAAAATAGGAAAGCCAGATTCATTGTGCTTGCGGTTTGGGCACCATGTAGCTACGGTATTTGGAGAGCTAGAAATGGGCATCTACATCAAAAGAAGTTCAAGGAAGAGGAGACAATTCATTATATTTTGTTTCATAGCAAATGCTTTATACAATATAGAAGGATCTGATATCTACGTTGTATTTAACTTTGAAGTTGGTGAATAAAATTTGTACTTTCGGATAAAAAATAGGAGCCAATAACTTTAATGAAAAGAGGGGTAAATGCGTAAAGGGCAAAATTATTGAAAGAGAACTTATCTTTCTTAAAAATGAGAAGTTGGTTTTGGGATGGAGAAACTAGATTTTAACTAACTCCATATTACTCTTCTAAAATCTGAAATACTATATGTTATTTTTCTAAGGTTTGAAATCTTGAATCTTATCTTAATTTGAATAAATAATCATCAAGTTTCAGTGCACAATTTTTATTCCGAAATCAGGCCGAAATTTGCTTGAGTTTGGCTAATTGAGTATGGTCATTTACTAAATCCAAACACCTGCAAATTGTTAACCATCTAATATTTCCTTCAATACGGTTTGCCTCACACAAACCACCAGTAGTAGTGCTATTCAGTACAACAACAACAACAACCCAGTTAAATCCCACAAGAGTAGGGTCTGGGGAGGGTGTGTGTACGCAGACTTTACCCCTACTCAAAAGTAGAGAGGATGTTTCCAAAGAGACCCCCGGCTCAACGTCGAAAGTTGCATTTCTTGACTAACTGCTACTTCATTAGTTAAAGAAGCGCAAACAGTGTAGAGATCCATTTTGATTTATTCCATCACACCCCAAAGCCAAAAAATGGTGAAATTTTGGCTCCATCGGAGATGATGGAAAAAATAGAATGAATGAATGCTCAAGAAACTGCAACTTCACCACTATGGGCAACTAGCTTAAGAGGCATGTTGTACTTAATGCTTACAAAATCTCTTGATTTTGAATTTGAGATCCGCCTCCATTTGAAGCCCATCCCTGAGATGAGTCCCAATTAGAAGCTATTGCTGGCTCATCCTGATTGGGCTTTGATGAAGTAAATTGCCCTTTGTTTCGTTGC